TCCTTCCTTCCTTCCTTCCTTCCTTCCTTCCTTCCTTCCTTCCCTTCTATTTGACCCTTCCTTATTTCCTTCCTCCCTCTCTCCCCTTCTCCCCCTTCCTTCCTCCCTCCCTCCCCCTTTCTCTCTCCCTCCCTTCTCTCCCATCCTTACCCCCCCTCTCTCCCTTCCATCACTCTCCAATGTCTGTCCATCCATCTTCCTTCCTTCCTTCCTTCCTTCCTTCCTTCCTTCCTTCCTTCCTTCCTTCCTCCCTCCCTCCCTCCCTCCCTCCCTCCTTCCTTCCTTCCTTCCTTCCTTCCCTTCTATTTGACCCTTATTTCCTTCCTCCCCCTCTCCCCTTCCACTTCTTTCTCTCCCTTTTCCCTCCCTCCCTCCCTCCCTCCCTCCCTTCTCTCCTTCCCAGAATGCAGTAACTTCTCCCCACCTGTGACGGTCATTCTGCTGATCTTCTTGTGCCTTGAAGGGTTTCTGTTTCTGACGTTCACCGCCGTCATGTTCGGCACCCAGATGCATTCGATATGCAACGATGAAACGGTAAGCCATTCCCTTCCCCACCCCTCCAATGTCACCCCCTCCCCCACTCCCCGTTGCAAATTGGGCCCCTGCTGTTCTCACAAACCTCTCCCCCCCCCTCCAGCGGAGACCTCTCTTGAATCTCTGCTCACCCCACCACCACCTCACCCCAAGTTTGCGGGGTTTCACCCAAGCCTCCCTCCCTCCCATTAACTTGCAGGAGATCGAAAGGCTGAAGAGCGAGAAGCCCACCTGGGAACGGCGGCTGTGCTGGGAAGGGATGAAGTCGGTCTTTGGGGGACAACCGTCTCTGCTGTGGATAAATCCTTTCGCTGGATTTCGAATCCGGAGGCTGCTACTGAGGAGGGCCAAGAAAGGAGCGCCCGAATTTTCCGTCTGAGCCTGCCCAATCATGCTGAAACCCACACGAGGCGCGTCTGCTGTATTTATTGGGGGGGGGAGGAGGAGGAGGTGAGACGGGGTGGGGGGCAAGCCACAACCCGGGCCTGGCGGACTTTATAACAAAAGTATCCAAACAAACACTTTGCTTGTAGCAAGCAAGAGTTTTGTACCTTTGATAGCCTCCAACGTCTCTCTCTCTCTCTCTCTCTCTCTCTCTCTGGAACGGGGAACATTTGCCACGCCTGGCTTCCGTTGCACAGAACAAACCAAACACCGAGTGGGGGAAAAAGGGGACAGTCCTGCCGAAGAAGTTCAAATAAGCATCTCCACGGCGGTTGCGCGATTCTAGAAGAACTGCAGTTGTTTTTTACATTTTTCACCAGGTCTCTTCATTGGGGAGTCTGTGGGGTTTTCTCTTTTTTTTCCCCCCTCCACTTTCGAAAAGACTGTTCCTGGAGCTGCCATTGTCAATCATGAGACACCGTTGTCAATCATGAGATACCATTGTCAATCATGAGATACCGTTGTCCATCGTGAGACGCTGTTGTCCATCACGGGACGTGCTGGGAATAGCTAGCCAAACCCAGTCTCCGAAACCAGAAATTACCATCTCCTTTCTTCTTTTCACCCCGACGAGGCCTGTGAGCTGTGTTAGGGGTGGGTGATTATCTCACACAGCTTCTGATTTTTCCCACGAGAGAACCCAAAGCTCGCCAGAGTGAGGCTTCAGATTTCCTCACCTCACCGGATCATTCCATTTCAGGTTCAGTATCAGTTCAGCGCTAAATAGGGAGCAACCCTACGAACTCTAAGCTACCGTCTGGGTCAAACGGCTGTTTTTGTTCTCAATCTAAGGGAAGTCCTCCGCTATTTGGGGAGGTCAAGAATGGGTTTTAAAGGAAAAGGAGAGGGGGGCGGGTTGAAACCTCTCAAAGTCGGCCAACTCTCCGTTGTCTCTTTCTCTACCGGGTCGTCATCAAATAAGCCGGCAGGTTTTTCAAAAAGTTTCCCCACCCCTCTGGGCACTGGAAGTGGTGCTAGGGACTCAGGAAACCGGTCATTGGAAAGGAAGTCTCTTCTGAAGCTCAGCAGAACTTAGTCTGGAAGGTCATCCATGAAGACGTTCCTCGAGCCAGTCTATTTGTTTTTGAAGAAGCTGCCTTAGATCCCCAGGGTACAGGTAGTCCTTGACTTACATTCATTTAGTGATCCATGGCTGACTGGGGAAATCTGGGAGTTGAAGTCCAGGTGTCTTTAAGAGTTGCCAAGGTTGAGATACATTATAAGAAGGGAAAGCTCTTAAAAAGAGGTTGAAAAATGTTGTAATTAAGGAAGTACCTACGAAAGGCAGGTGGGCATTTAACTCTGCATAGGATTCAGAATGAAATTCCACTTGTTTCCTAATGGTAATTGGTCTTAAACTATGCTTAAAGTAAAAGAGACAGAGAGGCACAGCTGCCTTGTAACCAGAAGATTTGGTACAACTCTTGAGTTATGTATGTGTATCCTGATTTTTTTTATATAAAAAATGAACTTCTTGTAAGAGTTGTCCTAACTCTAATAGGGATGAGTTCTTTTTGTTCTAGTAATGGCATCGCATGCTTCTACCCCCTTAGTTTGGCATCTACAGAGGGCGGCAACAGGATACCCGTGTGATGAAGGTGTCGCACAAATGTTGGCGCTTAACATGCTTGTGTGTCTGAGGTTGAGTTACAAGTTCACCAGAGCTGCATTTGCACAACGAGGTATATGGATTAAGGAGGGCTTGGAGTGGACATCCCTGGGTCTGTAGTTGACCTCTCAGAGAAATTCTTGACTTGAGTGAAGTTCTCTGAGTGTAGGTGGAGCATTTGCAGGTAGGATCGTGGTTCAGCGGTCAAAGATGCTGGGCTAGCGGGCTGGAAAGTTGTCAGCCCAGATTTGAGACCCAAGCGCCACATGATGGAGTTAGTTCCTGTACTCGCTCCAGCTCCTGCCAACCTAGCAGTTTGAAAGCATGCAAATGCGAGTAGATAAATAGGTACCACTTCAGTGGGAAGGGAACAGCGTGATGTCCGTGATGTCATTCTGGCCACACAACAGTGGAAATATCCTCGGATGGCTCAATGGCTTTGAAACGGAGATGAGAGATGAGAACCCGCGTAGAGTCAGGGGAGGAAGGAAATCTGGAAGAGCAGTTGAAAGCGAAAGTACATTCCAACTCTTCTCTTTAAAAGATTGTAACTAAAATACCAGAGTTTTTGCCCGTGAATATATTTAATTGGAGAACATGAACAATGACACCCAGCCTGTGAGGGTGCTCAATTGGAGAATCTGATTTATGACACGCCCAGGGAGGAGGGGGGAAACAGGGTCACAGGGGACTGTGAATGACGTACACCAGAGTTGGCTTCATACAGGGCAGCGGCAGTATGTCGCCTTTAATGAATCCTTTGAAGTTTGGCTTGAGAATCATGATTTAATTAGAGCAATAGCTGGAATCCTGACATCAACAACTAGCAGAGTAAAATTCTGCAGGAACCCCCTTTTTACCTTAGCATTTAGAAAGAGGTATGTATAACGGGCTTAGACCCACTTCTTGAGTTGAAGGCCGTAGGGTGTGACCCTTCCGGCGAAAGCAGCAGGCATTGGTTCCTATCCCTCGTATTGGATCTCTGTTCTTGTGGACGACCCTCACCTGAAGTCCAGTCTTCTCATCTGCCCGTGGATTTTGGCAAGATAACCTTTGGCCCACTTCACTGCTTGTTGTATAGTGCCTTACCTTTTTTGTGAGTTGGGTTGCATGCTTATAAGAGAGCGCTGCGCTTGTAGAATACTCCCCTCAGATCCTTCCTGGGGCATGCCAGCATTTAAAAGATACCCAGAATTGATGGAAAAGAGGTGATGAAGGAGAGAGGCCAAACCACAGGTGTTTTCCTTCGGTATGTTTTTAAAGACGGCGTAGGTGTTTCTCCTTTCGCAAGCCAATTCTAGTGTTTCTTCTCCATTCTGAGAGAACTTGGTCTACCAGTATGTCCACCATGGTGTTAAAGGAGGAACCCAATCCTCCATTCTTAAGAGGCATGTCAGGCTAATAAGCATATTAAACCTATCCACAAATATTTTCCCCCGATATCGGTTGGTACCGCCCGCCATTTTTAACATCTGCCGTGCAGAAGAACTATTGCCCATTGCAAATAAGCAGGGTCTTAGCCAGGGGTGAGATGTTTAGCATTGACGGAATCCGACCAAGGAGTGAGTGCTTGGTAGATCTTAGCAAACTCTTCTCAGTCATCTTAAATAAAATGTATGCAGTTCAGTCTTAGTTTGAAGTTAATCCTGCCAACGGAAGAAAATGCACCACATGATAAAAAGGTGAAAAGCAGTTCAAGATCGGTTTGAGTTCTGCCATTTTGAGAATTGGGTATATCGACCTTTCCTACATAGGCCGCCTCAGGGGGGACTGTCCTTCTGAAACTTGGCAGGTCATGTTTAAATAGCTGATTATGTCTCTGATTTAGCAAATATATGTGTGGAATGGATGGAAACAATGTTCCTTGGTTTTCAGATCCTCGTTCTGTTGTACTTTTCTTTTTTTTTTATAAAAATGTGGAATAAAGTTAACTGAAGCTTTGTTGACTAGCACCGGGCAAATGGCAGGTTTGATTTACTTTATGGGTACGGAGACATTGCTCCAGGGAAGACGGCACAAAGTCCCCAGGTTCATCTGTGCCTGTCTCTGGACCACAAAATCATGGATGGAGTCCAACAGGAGAGAGAATATGGGCTCACTTAGGGGTGACATGATGGCAGTGTTCCAATAACTGAGAGGCTGCCGCAAAGAACGGGGTCAACTTATTTTTTTCCAAAGCACCAGAGAGCAGGAGAAGAAACCATGGATGGGAACAGATCAAGGAGAGAAGCAACCTGGAATTGAAGAGAAACTTCTTAACAGTGAGGACTATTAACCAGTGGAACTGCTGGCCACCAGAAATCGGTGCTCCATCACTGAAGGCTTTTAAGAAAACCTGTCTGAAATGGTATTAGATCTCCTGCTTAAGCAGAGGGTTGGACTAGAAGGCCTCCCTTCCAGATCTATTCTGATTGATTGACCACTTACTTGAGCTTCTTGTGAAGATCTGACTTGCCCACAAGTCATAAATGGCCGTTCTGAAGTATCAACTTGACACATTGCTTGAAGTCTTTTATTTTAAGTACAATTAATTTTGTTCCAACATGGATATTTTACAAACGGTAAGAGGAATCTCAAAATTTTAGGTTAAACCCTAGGAGTATGCCAATTATATGTACTTTATGTATCTCTCAACTAGAACTATTATTGGACTATGGCCATCAAACTGGTTTTAAGATCTGCATGGGGCTAATCTCCATTTGCTGTTCCACCCAAACCAGTCCTGTGTTTCCACAACAACGCAATAGATGGGAGTGTAACAGAAAATAAACCACTTAACTGCCATTGTTTTATATGATAGTTAACACCTGTTATGCTAATAATGTTGTGAGATATTTTCCTGGGAAGGGCCCAAGTGGTAAGCAAGGTGATTTAGTTGGGTGAGAAACCCAGCAATGTTGGCTACCATCATGGGAGCAAAGCTTGTTGAATTCCAAAAAAGGGCAACTAAAAATAGCGAGAGTGAATTTCCTAGAGGATCTCTTGTTTGGGAATGACCACCTGGGGCAAAAGGGTTGTTGGGATTTCAGATCCAGGGGTGGGACCCAGTTTGTAATCTTCACTTCCTGTGCTGGTGGAAGGAGAAGGGAGCGAAGTTTCTGGTGAAGCTGTAGAAGAAAAGATGAACAGGATGATTACTTCTCATGTATGTGAGCATACACATTTTTGCCTTCCTGATCAGTCGTGCCCTGGACCTTCAAAAGGTCCTTCATGATGTGTTCGGTAGATCCCATTCCTCAGTGGATCCACTTCTTATCTACTGTCTTCCTGCCAGTCTACTTCATCACCACCCTTACGTCCAATTGGCATCACTCACCCACTCTGGTCATTCCAAGCATTTGTATGTTTTAGGTCAAATGGTTAAGGTTCAACCACAGATTTCCTTATTGAAGCATTGAGAAAGTGGGTACCTACAGACTGAGATTGTGTGAATCACTGAGCCAATTGTGCTAGGCAGCACAATGTGACTTGGAAGATGCTCCATGTTGTGGCTGGAAGGGCCTGGCTGGTATTGAGGCATATCCATACTTGTTCCTGCACAAAAAAGAAAGCCATCTCAGTCCGATCATATTCAATGAACAAACCTCCAAATAACAGCTTGATTTTAATTCTGGATGTCCACGTTTTTCTGCCTTTCAAACTACGTCAAGTGACATGAAAGAAAATGGTCTATCTTGGAGCCTGGTCCCCTTGAAGAATCTACACAAAATTAGAATACAGTAGGAGCAAAGAGCATGGAAAGGCACTGCCTTTCAACAAATAACAACATCCACACATTCACACACACACAAACACACCAGCCATTTGCAGTTCTCTAATAAGTCATTATTTCTGGATTTAGAGATGTGCCTTACTGTGGTAATGAAGTTATATTAACATCTTTTTCCCCCCGTAATCACCAATTCAACTTTGTTCTAGCTCTTCTTTTCAATCCCAAGATCCACCAGAATGCCCTTGGGAATATTTTTAACAGGGTTAAAACTAGCCAGGCCGAAGAGAGATAGGTGAGCAGAGCTGCTGGTTAAAGGTATTGTGTAGACCTAACCCCAGAACTTCTTTCTCTATCTCCCAGCTTTATTATCCCACTTTTCTTTCAGCTGGTTGAGATGGTAGATGGAGCATCCATGATTGTGTTTTCTCCACAACTACCCACTGGTGGGAGGAGGAGAACTTGTGTCTCCTTGCACCTAGTCCAGGCCCCTTCACTTCTAGTCCACCCAGCCCCTTCACATCTCCACCCGCGTTGTACCTCCAAGGAGCATTTCTTGCAGCAAGCTGTCAATCCTAGCCATGCCGAAGAGTTTGACGAACTGAACTTGCTCTATCATCTGCCAAGTGATGCTTTGCAGTGGAGGGAGCAGCAGGAGGATGTCGCTGAACCTTCCCCGGGAGTCGTACTGCCGATCGTTGATGTAATCCTCCAGGTTCACCTGGACCTGGAAACGCATGTTCTTGACTTTCCCTGGGTCACTCAGCCCTTTGCAATCTGGGACAAGGAGAAAGGAGAGAAATGCGGCGGATGGAAATGAATGGGAGCAAGTGTTGTCAGTCATGCTCACGGTGGGAGCATGACCGAAAAAAGGAAATTATCGGGTGAAGCAAAAACAATAGAAAATTAGCTTTGGTTCAGGACAGAGGTAGCTTTTAAGATAAGGGTGGAAGGTCCAGGAAAGTTAAGGAAATCAAGATACCCCTTGGAAGCTTGTCCTATCAATTGTGACTTTTCAAGAAGCAACTGGACTTTTCTTTGTTTTTCCTTGAAGACACTTTGCTTCTTATCCAAGAAGCTTCTTCAGTTTTGAAGAACTGAACCGAAGAAGGTTCTCGGATGAGAAGTGAAACGTCTTCAAGGAAAAAACAAAGAAAATGCATTTGTCTCTTGAAAAAACACTTTTGGGACAGCCTTGAACCTGGATGATTGAGAATCTCCATGGACATTGTCCTTTCAATTCCTATCATCATCTGGTAATCAAAGGTGGTGATGTTTTTAAATCAAACCCAGGATGATTTGAAGAATAAAACAGTACCTGGATCAAAAAAGATGATGGCTTTAAGACAGGCATATTCATTCTCGTCGATCTGAATGTCCCGTAAGGGTTTCACCAGCTCATCCAGAATCCTGATTGCCACTCGGGCAATTTCAAGCTCTGGACATTGCATAGGGATGATGAAGTCATTGCCTATGGAAGAGGAAGGAATGTTGTGAGGCACATGATGGTGATACATGGCTCCAGCTAATCTAGAGATTATTTACCTCGATTTTTTTCCTAAGTGTTAAGAAACAGAAGCACTCCATCAATCCTTGTGGTTGTTTAATCTCCCTCTCTATGGTTCACCCATAACACAAGGACATCATGTGGATTGCTTGGAGCATAGCACATTATGTGATGAAGGTTCCTTGAGCCATAATCAACCCATGGCTGAGGACAGTCCATAAACACAACCTAATACCCTTGAAGATCTGAGGAGGACC